AACTATAATTAGTATTTATTCATATATTATATTTTAAAATCAAAGTACTACTAATCAGAATATAATTAAAGAAATAAGAGTTGATGTTGCTTTTGGAATAATCCACCAATTTCTCTAAATGAAACACTATCTACAGATTTGCATCGAAGCGTTTCTTATGATAGTGATTTTAATCACTGTCAGATATCATAATACTTGATCCAACTATGCCACGTCACCACTGTGCCGCGTCCCCCCCGTGCTGGGTTTTTTTTTTGATATTATTAATACATCATTGATATTATCTAATTCTATAAGTAGAAGTCCGTCTTTATCATCCACACGTTTAGATTATATAAATCTAATTGACATAGCATAAAAAGTTAAACTTATTTAAATTTTCTTGTTTTTTCAAAAAAAAATAACAATTAAATTTGAACTAGCTTAAATTTCTATTTTTATCCACCGCAGAAATGTGACGTACGGTAACACTTGTACATATTTAACGCTTAAAGTACAAAGTTCGAACCCCAAATGGTAATGAATTTTTTTCTTAATTCATTTTGTATTAGAAAAATATTTTCAACACATTCAGATTTAATAATTTCAATGCACATCAAGTACCTTATCTTTGTAGTCTCCCCTCGTGAGAAGAAATTTCTTATTTATATTAAAATTATTTTAATGTGTTTTTTTTTGTCATTCATTTTCTCAGCTCTCACTTGACCAGTTTTTTTTAACTATACGTCTAATGACCACACCTAGTATCTAGTAAAAGATGTTATTCTTAAAAATTGAAAAAAAATCCCCTTTCATCATAAAAAATTTTGCTTTACTAGCTTTTTCTATATATATAATTAAAATTTATCTACGTAATTGTTTTTTCATATACTTCAGTTATTGTTTTATTTTCTGAACATGATTCATTTTCGATTAAATAAATAAAATTATAAATATACTAATATTAATTTTGTTTACGTGTATTTATGATTTATGCAATTTTCATATACTGTTTTTGTCATAACATACTGTGTTTAAAGGATAAATTTATAATAGTTATAATCAATTTTTGAAATTTAATATGAATGAACAAAATTTGTTTTAGTAGACTACCTTTAATATTATTTTTTAATAGTATTAAAACTTATTGTTCAATAAATACTTAAAGAATTATAAAAAATTAACAATTTATTACATATTTTTTATTTGGGTATTATATTGTCATAAAGTTAATGTTTATTTTATTAACTTAACCATAACCCTTAAATGTTCAGCTACGTATTGTTTTCGAAAACACACTGACGGAATTGATGTAGCTGGAATACATATATATTTCAGTTTTATATTATACAAATCTAAAAATGTTTGTCTGTGCTGTTTATAAAATTAAAAAAAATNCTGGAATACATAAATCTTTTAGTTGTATGTTATACAAATCTAGAAATGTGTGTCTATGCTGTTTATAAAATTAAAAAGTTTTTTCGATCCAAAGTTATCAGTTCTAAATATTGTCATATAATCAAAGCACAAGTTAAACTTGGGATCGATATAATTTTGATCTTTTCCACTTTATTATCGAAATGCTCCCATATTGAATTAATATTTGACAATAATTCTATTTTCATTAATTCAAAAAGCTTCAAAATAATACGATAAAATAATTATTTCACACTCAGATGCGTTTAAACTATTTTAAACTCGAGGGATTGATAACATAATAGCAGGTAGGAGGCCAACTCTAAGAAATTGGGATTAAGACGAGGAAGATATTTGAGTATTACCAATACTTTTTATTGAAAAACTACCATACGATATTTGAAATACAATTTTTATTTGATGTTTCAAAAATATTTTAAATTGATAATTTTGTGTTAACGAAAAAAACGGATATAATATTTTTAGACCTTTTTTGTAGTAATATGTTTAATTTTATAGAATATACTAAACTGTTTTTTCGCCTCATTCATGATCCACCAGGAAAAACTTATGATATAAATACAATGATTATAAATGAATCGATTACAAAACATATTTTAGTTCCAATGATAAATTATTATATTGATGATAAACTAACCATTTTTTGGATGATGCAATTGTATGCTTACTATGTTCAATTGTTTAGTTATGATGTATATCGATATAAACACAATATTAAAAAAGCTATCGAACAAGTTTTGGAAAATTTATATCTTGTAAGTAAAAAAATATGTCGAAACAATTATAATTATGAAGTTGGTTATTTTAATGGAGAATATTATATACTCCTCACAAATCTAATAAATACCATGCATGAAAGACAAGAAATCAACAAAATTGATTTAGAAAATGTAGAAGAACAAGAAAACTCGTTCTCACTCAGAAATATTTACATGTGTGATATAATTGAAGACAAAGATTTATGGAGAACTATTATAATGGATTTTGGTGAATTGAGTGAAGATATTTTTGAGACTATTTACAATAACATATATAAAGAATATACAACGGCTATTAATTATTTTTGGTTTGATTTATGGATAAAACGTATTGGAATTTACCAACAAAAATTCTTAAACGTTTTTAAAACTGTTTTAATGCATTTAATGAGAAAATAATTGATGTATATTTCTTTATTGTTAGAAAATAAACAAAAAGTAGATGCAATATATGGCCTAAAAAAATTGCAATGTTTAATTGAAAATACCATTATGTTATTTGACGGTTAAGAAGCTTAAGATTACCATAATGATTTAATTTTAAACATCGAATATATAATACAAAAAATTAAATCTAACTCTTTTGAATTAATTTCAAATGATTTAATTAGTGATCCAGGCTAACAATTGAGTATTAATGTTAATACTGAAATGTATATCACAGAATATAAGTTAAATGAAGATGATTTTAATTTTATTGAATATTTGGACACAATCTCAGATTCTAAAGCAATGATTAATCATTTAATAAAAATATTTTTTTTTACTAAGTTATTCAATAAAACATTCAAAAATGTTAATACAAAAATTATTTTATCATATTTAAAATTTACTGAAACTTTCAAAATATTCACTAATCATAATGAAAATAACGAAGAAATAAATGTAATATTACTAGAATTGTGAAAATAATTTTTTTAATAGAGTTAAAACAATATTCAATTAATTTTTTCAATCATCATAATTTATTTCAAATCAATACTAAAATTATTTTAAATTATATTGTAGTTTATTTTTAAAGTTATTTTAATCGTTGTTTTTATAATGTCACTTACAATTGTAATATACTGGTCACTACCATAACATCGGATATTTATACATTATATTCTAAGAAGGACATGATTTTTTTCAAACAAATAATTTAAATAAACATTTAACATACACACGTTGATTAGTTATATTTTATACACACGATTCTTTCATAAATTGATTAGTAGTCACTTTTAGAAATCGTTCCTTCCGAGAGGAAATATAAAATGACAAAAATAATTTATTTATTTTTGTCATCTTTGTAATTTTAGTTTTAATAGTTAGATTATTTGAAAAACATTTAATGAGGCTAAAAAGTAAATTGTATAATACTATAGTGAGGCCAGCTATGATGTATGGTTCATAATGTTGGGCGGTTGATAAAAAAGTAGAGCAGAGAATTAGTGTAGCAGAGATGAAAATGCTTAGTTGGATGAGTGGAGTGACTAGAAAAGATAGAATAAGGGACGAGCATATAAGAGGGAGTATAGGTATTGCGTCAATCGTGGATAAGATGAGAGAAAATAGACTTAGATGGTTTGGTCATGATATAGGGAGAGAGGAATCGGAAGCTGTAAGAACAGTTATAAAAATGAATATTGAAGGAAGGAGAGATTGAGGAAGACCAAAAAAGAGATGGAGGGATGCTATTGAATGCGATTTGAGGACAGCTAATGTGAGCGTAGAAGATGTGGGAGATCGTGTCAAGTGGAAGCTTAGGATAAGGGTGGCCGATCCCAAATAGTTGGGATTAAGGCAAAGAAAAAGAAAATTCCGATGGCAATTGACATAATATGATTGCTGTTTGGGAATGTAGAATTTAGCGTTTAGTTGGGTATAAACAATATAACGTCAAATCAATTACCTACTCTATTGGTTGTATATTAATATACACTAAACTTTTATGATACAATAATTAAATAAACTCACACATACACACATATGCATTTATAACATTGTGTAACATGATAAAAAGTAACCGTAAAATGAAAAAAATTGAATATAAATTTTAGTACTCATATTAAATGTAATATAACTCGAAAAATATTTCTTTAAATGAAAAAATATAAGATAATTTTTTTATTTATAATTTTCTTTTAAACAACTTTTGTACGAAACTTTTTTTTGTAAGTTAAATATTTTTTGAGAAAATTAAAAAAGCTCATATTTTTTAATTTTTGCGAGGCTGTAAAAAAAAGCTCAATTTCAATCAATGAAGACTATTAGTATGTCATTATACATATTTTAATTCAACTATTAATAAAACAAAATTTNCTATTAGTATGTCATTATACATATTTTAATTCAACTTTTAAAAAAACAAAATTTAGTTAGGAATTTTTTCCGCAATTTTTCCCTTGTTGACTGGCCTAGATATCAATTTTAAACTTGTAATTGAACTAAAAGTTATGGTAATATATTCAATTTTTTTTACTATAAACTTTCATAAATCTTTATAATAAAATTTTTCATCAACTTTAAGGAATCAAAAAAATAGGTTAAAAATGAAAATTTGGACTGATTATTTTTTCTTGAAGTGCTTGAGGATATATCCATGTTTTCAGTTGGTTTCTGACGTTTCGGACTTATTTCAGAGTCCATCTTCAGAGTGATGGTTGCTAGTCGGTGACTGCAACTATACAAATATATATATATATGCAAATATGATTATTTTTAACATATTAAAAATCAAATCAGTAATAATTTGGAAACAAATTTTTTTTTCTTTTAATTATTATTTTATATGTAATTAGTAATAATATAAAAAATTAGAAGTGATAGAAAAAGTCTAATTGCAGATTTGAAAACAACGCGAAAAGTTGATTTAGAAAAGTATATTTTTGCTTCCGATGAAAGTTCCTTGTAGTTCAGTGCATTTTTTTATAGTAACAAACAGTTTTTATTGAAAATTATTGTATCAAGCCCTTTACATTTGTATACACGTAAAAGTAAAGCAAAATATAACTTCTTTATTATTTTTATAATTTTTCCGTTTAAATTACAATATTAAATTATTGAATATCAAATTCATACTAAATTTAAAGACTATAATTAGTATTTACTCATATATTATGTTTTAAAATCAAAGAACTACTAATCAGGATATAATTAAAGAAATAAGAGTTGATGTTTGACACGGCACCGCCCGTCGCTCTAGGCTGGCGCTCACCAGTGTCTCTCGCGATATCAGCCGTCCAGCTATTAATATGACAATCGGTTGTCTCCCCGCCCTTGACACTGAGATAAGGCCGCCGCCGAGTATGGATTACGGATATTGCGTTCTGTTCTGTTTCCGACGTACCTGTACCTGGTTACCCGTTGTTTTGTCGTTTTGAGTTTGTCTTTCTTGTGTTCTGAGACGATACCTCGAGACCGATACCTAGAGTAAGCTGTGTAGTATACTATATCTACATATATACATTTTGGGTTGTGTAAGAAATATATCCGTTACGGCTAGGGAAGTCGACTGAGTAAATATATATATTTACATACCGAACTGTTCGTATTGCTACGATCGTTTTTCCTTTACGCTATTCTTACTGTTATCGTTGTAAAACTATAAGTTATTAACACATATTAACGAGATAACCTGTGCGATCGCATTATTGGATACGCGTTAACTGGCTCCCCGAAGAGGAATATAAACCGGCCGAGTGAAGTTAAGGTAAGAGGCTTTGAGCCGATTAAGTTTCTAATTATATTAGATTTTAGTTTAAACTTGAAACGATGAAGTCTCCCTCACAAATTTGATAGTTCATATAGTTGTTTGAACGGATTTCACTGGTGACAGCAGTGAATTTTTACCTGGGTTATTCACAGTTACGTGTTAGTGGGATTAGATTTATCCTGGTCTCTGGGAAAATTTTCTTTTATAAAAATTAAGTTAGAGCAGTTTATCTAATAGAATCCGGCGTAAGTATTGTCGTTTAAAACTGTTGGTTACAGTTTGTTAATCCGGATTTCCACGACTGCCAAGCACACCAATAATTGTATACTTGACAAATCATCCAATTATAAACAAGTGGAGCGTTCCCATGACTGGTATACTTGTACAAATAATAAATAAAAGCCAAGTATACTATTCCTACAACTGGATCAAATGCCAAATAATTGTATTGGGGGTGGGACCTGAAAAATATTAAGTCGTGTATCATTTGCTTTTTTTGCACTGCAGTGTTTGGACGTTTCAGTGAGTGATTTAAAATACATTTTTTAGTATTGCTAGATTTTATACTTTTAAATTATTTTTTTATCTTCGATGCGAAGCTGAGAAGGTATTGGTTTTACTAAGATGTGTTTATTTTTTTTTTTTTTTTTTGTGTCTGTTACCACTTTTTCTCAGCTCTCACCGAACGGATTTCTTTCAACGATACGTCAAAAGATCACAAATCGTATCTAGTCGAAGACATTACCCTTCAAAATTGAAAAAATTTCCCTCGTTCCCCGTAAATGGGGGAAACCTCCAAAAAAATTACAAATTTAAAAATCGCTAATTTTCGAAATTTTTTCAATTTTTTTTACTAAAAACTGCCGTAACTTTTTTAAAAATAAACATATCAATATAATTTTTTGTTTATAGATGCATGATGTCATTACCTATCATTTGGTATATTTTTTTTGTAAATCTGACACTTAACCTGCCCACAGGGGGGGATTTAAAATGACAACTTTTTCACAAAAAATTAACTTTTTCAACTTAACTTTTGAAAATGTTCCGGAAGGTCTGACACTTTTATATATATCTTAAATTAAAGCTAATGTAATATACTTTAATTTGAAAAAAAAAAATTTGACCTCTGGACTTGTCTTCATGGTGAAAACGGCTACCGAATGCTATTTTTGTGTGAAAATTTTCGATTTTATTATTTATATTATATTTAACTTTATAATGCTATAACTTATTGAAAAGTTTATGGATCCACACAATTTTTTTATGAGAAATAATATTTTGTAATAAACCCTTTTTCATTCGACATACTTTATCTTAATCGAGATATTAATAAGGAACCAGCAGATCAAGTAGCTTTTGGAATAAAACACCAATTTTTTTAAAATTAAATCAATCTAAAGATTTGCATCGAAGCGTTTATTTTTGATAGTGATTTTAATCACTGTCAGATATAATTATACTTAATCCATCTATGTCACGTCATCACTGTGTCGCGACCCCCCTGTGCTGGGTTTTTTTAGTTAAAATAGTTCTTTAACTTTTATCTATAATTTTTAGTTTTTATTTATCTAATTAAACTAAAGTTAATTAAAATGGCTAGTGATATTGATAAAATGGCTATTTATGCTTCATACATAATTATGTGTGGAGAGTACTTAAAGTACAAACAATTAATTGAAAAAAAAATGTTAAAATATGTTACCGTAAAATTAGATGAAGGTTTTACTTAACTTCACCAAACAATTGAACAGCCACCATTTCAAAATAGAGTTTTGATAGCGAAATGCATTAAATTTATATCATTAATACACTTATCTACTTTTTTTAGTAATTTGGCATTTCTAGTAAAGCCTTTTATTTATTTACTACCTATATTCATTTTTCGCTTGCATTCTTATTATGATTACTCACAGGTGATACTTACTGATATAAACGTCAAGAGTTATCAGTTTACTTAATTTCTATGAGCAGTGTGGGTTGCAAAAACAAAAAATTTGCCGATAAATTCATTTTTATTTAATTATAGCCATCGAAGTTTAAAATAAAACTATTTTCACACACATAGTTCTAATATAACTTTATAAAATAGAAAATGCTATTACTATAAAATATTTTTCAGTAATAAATTGTATTAATCTTGTTTTCGGCATCCAACAACAATAGCAATTAAAGCAAATTTGAGGAGGTTAGTTTCCCTAAAAATTAAAGAAAAAAAATACGACAGAGTTAAACTAATAGTATTCCAGCTACGCACCGTATATAATTTTTTACTTGCAAAAATGAAACAGAATTTTACGAATATAAACATTTTAGTAAAATATTAAACTATCCAATAATATTTATTTTATATTAAATATTCATAAATTAATAAGTTGTATAATTAATACATTATGTAATCAACCTTAACTATTAAATTATATTTACAATTATACTATAAAATAGTTTTACTTATCTATTAAATTAAATCAACTAATTAGGCCAACATAAACCACCGCTGTACTGCACAAATATAAGTGGGTGGGGAAGAAAAAATTGTGTTACCGATAGCCACCTTAAAATCAAATATTGGATAAGTATTTGACAAGTGCACAAGTGTGCACTAGTGAACTACAAGTGTAAACTTGTGAAGCCATTAATCCTTTTGACTTGTGTTACATTTACCGACAATCTGCGGGACACTGACAAGTGACCAATAATTGTACAAGTATGGTGTTCCAATGGCTTGACAAGTATACACAAGTGACAAATATTTGGCAAGTACACCAGTCGTGGGAATCCGGCTTTATAAAGACCTTATTGATAACGACAAAAAGTGAAATTCCGGCCGATAGTTACAGTCTTTTGGTAGATAAAAATAGTATATTTTCGTCTGACCTTGTCAAAGTGGCCGATTCCCAGGTAACCGTTATTATTATTGTTCACTCGCTGCCATATCATATACGGCAGCCCCGGACCATCTTATCGCGGTCATTATTACAACAATAGCAATAATATTAACACATGTTTTCTACAGCAGTAGCAAATTTGACCGTACGCGGAGATATTGTTTATCTCCTCTATTCTAGTAACGTTCATTTGATTATTTATTTTTGTAAATAAACATAATATTCACGGTCAATATGTCGGGGAAATCATTAGCACAAATGAATTGCGCTGAATTGCGTCGCGAATGCGCTTTTAGACAGCTACCATGTTATGCGACGAAACCCAACATGCTAGTTATGCTAGAGGAAAACAAACGTAGCGAAGGGAGGAATCCAGCTACCGAAATTTTACCGCCCCGTACGCCACTAGATAGCGAAAATCCAGTCCGCGAACCCGATGTGGGGNCGGTCCGCGAACCCGATGTGGGGGTTTTAGACAACTCCTCGGACCTGTGACAGATTTCGAACATGTTGGAGCGAATCAGTCAAAACATGCTGCCGTCCCCACACGTTGCTGTCCAACCGACTATTCGTCAAGTTAACGTC